CTATCTGCTCATTTTTACAATCCTAAGGGGCAAAAATATGGCCTGACTATTCTACAGTTTCAACCTTTGAACAGCGAATCATATTTTGAAAAAACAAAAGTATACAAAAGTAATAGAAATGTAAATGTTGGCTTTATATGCTTAGGGAGAATACTTTTTGAAATATACAAATTTTATTAGTTTTAACTTCACATATAGAAGATCATACGCATGCAGAACCAAGGACTTAATATTCAAATTTTCTAAACAAAAAATGAAGAGGAAAATGAAATAATTAATTGAAAATTGTATGCAATTTAGCTTTGAAGAAATTTTGTTAACATAATAGATAAAATTTTAGCAAGTCAATATGTAATGTTAAAGCTATTAACAACAAGTTGAACTTTATAAATCAATAGCCAAATAGTAAGGTCAAAAATATTTAAAGAGCAGCAAAAGTTCAAATTTTCATAAAGTAAAAGTTAAGTGGAGGGGGACAAGAAATTTTGTTAAATCTAAGGAGGTGCGAGAGAGATTTTTAATGGAAAATTTTAAAATCTCTTAGTGGTTAATCGAAAAATCTCAAAACTTCGGAGCGGCTTAACCCCTGCGGCCCTGCCGGGGCTCTGGCCTTGCCTATAAATAAGCAGAGTGCTTTCATTGTGCCAAAAAATGGTAAAACGAAAATTTGAAATCGTTAATAAGAAAATAAATTATGTAAGCATGGATTTTCCACAATACTTTCACAACACCATTAACAACATGGCATAGCATTTTGAATCCAGGTCAAGGCACATTATCTAGAGTTGGCAGGCAAAGTTCACCCTTTCCAGCTAAGTTTCAGTTTAGCGCATACAGTTGAGACCCTCTGTACTATTACTACTCAGGTCAAATTCAGTACCAGTCTCACTTATTACGTGAAGATAAAGAAAACTTAAATAAATAGCACATAACAATTTAAATAATAGGATATTTGGTATAAATATAACGCTAAATTACTACTGAAAAGTGGCATTGAGAATCCCATATGCTAGCATGCACTTCACAACAGTTAGAGAAAGCTAAAATTACTTAGTGCATATATAACAAATTAAATAAATAGCACAAACAACTTAAATAATAGGACATTTGGTATAAATATAGCACTGAATTGCTACTGAAAAGTGGCATTGAAAATCTCATATACTAGCATGCACTTCACAACAGTTTGAGAAAGCTAAAATTACTCAGTGCATACATAACAACTTAAATAAATAGTACATAACAACTTAAATAATAGGACATTTGGTATAAATATAGCACTGAATTGCTACTGAAAAATGGCATTGAAAATCCCATTTACTAGCATGCACTTCACAACAGTTTGAGAAAGCTAAAATTACTCAGTACATACATTGGTATGCACTTCATAACAGCTACAGAGGAAGCTAACATTAGATAGCCCTCGAGCTTCAGAAAGATTTTTTCCTAGCTTTCCATATCTTCCCATATACAGAATAAGGGATCAATCTAAATTCTAAAGAGGCACTGCCTTTGCTGAGGTATTAGAAGAATTGGTCCACCAAGAGTCAAAGTAAAGTGGCAGAGAAGAACCAGAGCCTACCTAATTGAGGAGTTAAGACTCAAAAACACCCTAGACCTTCCAAGTATGAGAACACTATATATGGTGTTCAGTCAGAGAACTGAAAAACGAAAATGTAATTAATTAAATGTTCTCATTGGTTATAAACTCGGGTATATCAAATCTAATAATGTAGTAACAAGTTAGTAATAAAGTCAGAGCTTTGTTTACAAAAAGAGGAAAACTCATAGCTATGCAGTTTCAATTAGTTTGACAAAGACAAAAGTTGAAACCAATATCAAGCCAGGCATTTAGATAGAATATCTAACAAGAAAGGAATATGACGTAAACAACAAAATTTTACCCATCCGGAACTTGAAAAAAAATGGAGATTCAATATGAATTAAAGTTTTCTACTAATTGTATAAAAAACCGCCCTATATATGCAAGTTGTAAATATCAATACTAAACGGAGAATATGCGTTGTAAATCTAGACCTACTTGCATAGAAATAACGCTGACTGAAAATCCATGCAATGTTCAATAAGAAAAGAACTTGTCAAAAAGTTTTAGGATAAAATAGCACTAATAAAAGCAGACTAGGATAAATTCCCATCGCGGCGCCACTTAATCTGTATCATTGTAATTTCCCTCGTAAAAGTCTTTTGGCTCTTCTTTAATTTTAGTATACTGGCAACAATCTTCTCCCTCGTTCCTGATCAGATCATGGTTCATGTAAAAACTATTCGTAAAATTACTTGATGCAGGTTTTGTAGCCACCGGGGTTGGTTGGAGGAAAGGTTTCTCATCAAAGACAACGCACTTTGCTGCTGGATTCTCACCGTGCTCATGATCATTGTTAAACCACACAGCAAATTTGTCCGGATTTTCCGAAATCTTCTCGACGTGTTTCCTGGCGGGACAATGTTTAAATCCACATCGGTAGTATCCTTTTGGATAAGTCGAACCTATGAGTGTCTTCTCGCCGTACTTGATCCAACCCGAGCTATCTAGACGGAGTTCTTCACCTGAGACAATGATGTCACATTTCCTCTTCCGTGAATAGCGTTTTTTTTTTGGAGCTGGGATTTCGCCAATTATAAGTACTTCCTCCTCTTCTTTTGCTTCTTCCTGTGATTTTGGCTGATTATCATACTCTTTTACGTGCAGTTTTTGCAGGAAGTCCAATTGCAATTGTGGCTGAAGTTCCCCACCATTTGGATGCAGTTTCTGCAGGAATTCCACTTGCTTTTCTGGCTGATTTGAATCATTTATGTTTTGCTGCAGTATTGGCTCAAACCCCACTTGATTTTCCTGGTAAAATACTTCGTTTGTTGCATCAACATTCAGAGCTAAAGGAGTAGTTGTCGGCAAGAATGGACGGACTGCATCATATGATCCCTCATTACAATATCCTTTCAAGCCAAAAAATTCTCTATAACGTGCATCATCCTCATCATATTGATTAAGTGCGTCAAACATAGGATTTTCAGCAGTGAAGTATTCAGCATTGGTGGTGGATTTAGCAGTGATGGGATTGCAGAAACCTCCCACTAAACCCTCTAAATCAGAGTCTTTTAAACCAAGAAACTCTGTTAAACCAGCATCAATCTCATAATTTGGAACGAGTGTGTCCACCATAGGGCCATCAGCATTGAAGTATTCAGCATTGGCGATGGATTCAGCATTGATGGGATTGCAGAAACTTCTCCCTATAGCCCCTGAATCTACATCAGAATTTTCTTCCAAACCAAGAAATTCTGTTAAACTAACATCAATCTGATAACTTGGAACAAGAGTATCCACCATGGAAACTTCAGGAGTGAAGTTTTCAGCATCGCCGATGGATTCAGCAGTAATAGGATTGCCGAAACTTTCCATTAAAGGCCCAAAATAATCATCAGAATACTGTTTGATCAAGCCAGAAAACCCTCCTAAACTAGCATCAATGTCATAATTTCGAACAAGTGTGTCCACCATGGGCACTTCAGCAGTGAAGTATTCAGCATTCATCGTTGATTTAGCAGGAAAGGGATTGCTGCCACTTCTCCCTATAGCCCCTAAACCCCAATATGCTTCCATTGTTTATTTGGGTGATTCGAGTTGGGAGAATTCGGCTTATTGAAGATGAGAGGATCTGAGTAGGGTTTTTGGGGTGCGCGCATTCTTGTAGAGAAAGACATTACCATATATGTGTACAAGGTTACTCTGAAAATGGAAAGCAGTGGGTGACGGGGAATCCTGCTGAATTGATTGCTTATTTATGCTAATAAAATCTTTATTGACTATCAAATCTAATTGTTTCTTTTTTTTTTTTGTTCTCATCTTTATTATCGACTAGGAGGCATAAACGCGCTTCGCGCGATTGAACTATAAAATGCCCTGCCCAGTTTTGAAGTAATAAAAGAATAACAATTTATGTAAAAAAGTATATTTTTTAGTATAGGCATTCCACAAGTCTGAAATTTTGTTCATATTTCTCGGACGTTTCTCACAAAGCCTCTGGTCAACGGCAACCGCCAACTTTCATTTTTTACAAAACCATTTCTGGTGAAAAAAATGGAGCTAACGTAGTATATAATACAGGAATACTGGCTCCCAGGACACCATTTCTTACAAATATAGTGTAGAGTTAAAAGTAAAATGATTAATCAGAGAGGTTAGCTAACAAGGTAGATGATTAATCAGAAGGCATTTGTGCGCAGTTGAAATACAACATAAATAAAATGGAGTTTAAAAAGTTATCACAAAACTGCAAGAATGCAAATTTGACGATAATGTTGCAGCATCTTTATGAATAAATATTGCAAATCAGGATATTTATATGGAAAACAACCTATAACAAAGTATTATGCATCATTGGTAGCAATAATTGGGTGAAGTACTAAAAAGAAAAACCTGAAGCTGTAAGCCAAAAGAAATTAAATTCATTCAGATGGACAACAAAATTTAAGCTATTATTGACTAATTCTCTGCTTTTGCAAAAATGTATGCTCTTTGAAGGGTTCTACAAAAATTAGTATAGTCAAGATTTCCCCTGGAGTTAGTGCCGATGACGAGCAACATGAGATGGTCAGAAGGAAGAACTGGCAGAGTCATTTAATGACATGAAGATTCTTGACCAAACATCTTTAGTCACCTAGGCAGATGCTATTAACATTCATAGAGCCTAAACCAGGAAATATCTCTTCAATAGACACAAAACGTATACACTACTTATTCACAATTTTTTCAAAAACTACACCATTTTTTGAAACAAATACTACTTATATACAGCATTACTTAGTTGTTGACCTCCACCATCCACCCAAAAAAAAAAAAGGGAACCGCATCACTTTGCCTAAAAAAAAATGTCTCACAATATGTGCAGAAGACCATAACAAGCACTAATTCACATCATTTTTCATAATTCAAATTCCATTCACATATCAAAATATTTCAGCTTTATACAAAACCAACAAACAACAAACACAAAATTTCATTCACATATCAAAATGTTCACAGCTCATTCCCCTGTAGTTCAGGAGAACATACGTCCAGTATGGAAGAATAATTACCCCAAGAAAAGGAAAACTAAAATGGAAAATATAGACCTAAAATCAACTCCATAATTTAGTTATTAGCTTCTGGGCTAAGTTTATTTGGTCGAGCTCCTCTTCAACATTCTCCTGTTGAAGCTCGTGTATGACGGCAAGGAAGAGAAACCAGAGCCTCACCTGCTTTCATCTATTCAATTGGTCAAAGGAACCGATTCAGCCTGAAACACATAACAAAGGTATGCATTAAATGCCTACTATCAAGGGGGAAAAAGACAGAGGAAATTAAAGCTAAAGCAAAGTCCTTATACAGCACCGCTGAACTGAGCATTCTTTCGATCTGATTACTACATACCTCAGAAGTTGAAAGAAAGGCTAATGTATTAATGTAATGCACTACCATAGAGCTGACAAAATAAGAACAAAGGAGGCTAAAGCTGAAGCAAAAAAAGCTAACATAAAGAAATGGCATAACAAAGGCACGTGACAAATGGCTCTTATTGGGGGGCTGGGAGGGGAATCAGAGCAAAGAAAAGGTAAAGCAAAGTTCTTAGGCAGTTACATGAAACCAAGCGGATAAGAATAACGAAGGCGAATGGGTGAGAAAATCTTTGTAATATTTAAAAATTGACGTAGCAGAAGCCAAGGAGCAAATGGTTAGTAGGCAGAAGCAAGCTAACAGGCAAGGCAAAAAATTTGAGCATATGTAGAAGAGAGAACAAGGAATGTCACCTTAGCGTTAGATAGATACAACAAGCCTTGTTTAGCGAACAGTAGAGCAGCAGAAAAGAGGGCAGAACCTGTTCCTGCACCAAACAAAACAACGAGGGGTGGAAAAAGATTAAGAAGATACAAGGACAAAGGGTAAATGTGCTATAATACCCAGCAGAGCTCAAAAGGGAAAAAGGTATAAGAGAATCAATGAGAAATAGGTAGAAAGCATAAAACAGAAAGTAGGGAAAGGTAACCTGAACGAGCTAAGCACGGCAGAACAGAAGTACAAAAAAAAAGAGGCGTAAGCACCATTGATAGGAGGGAAACGAAAGGCGCAGGTAAAAAAACGTCGGCAAGAAATCAAAGTTAAGCAAAGCATCAGGAGCAGCAAAATAAGGCGTAAAGCAAAGCAAGCAGAAATGCAACAGTAACAGCAGACCAGGGCATAAAATTTAGGGGAGAAAATCAAATAAACACGACAATGCAGACAACAAGCTCACCAGGAGGCAAAATCTAACAATAACAGGGGAAGTAAGTTTGACACAAGAAGCCAGTAAGACAGCAGTTCCGACAAAAAAAAATAAGGAAACGGAAAGAAACTAACTAATAACGCAGCACATCCAAGCAAATAGATGAAGGGCAAGAAAAGAACAATTAGCAGGAGGCACACTTACCGCGGATCATGATGATGCCTCAGGGAAAAGACGGCACCAGTAGCATAGAAACCTCTACATACATCGGAGGAACAAAGAGGTTTCAGTCCCTTCAATCAAAGGAATGAGCCTTGGGTTTATCCTCGGGAAGAGAAGGCAGAAAGCGTTCTTTTCTCAGGCAAACGGAGAGAGAAACAGTTTTCAGTGGTCTCAATCAAAGAGCAGAGCAAAAAGGCCGTTTTTGCCATCTCTCTTGAGCAGAGGCGAAACTGGTTCTCAACAAAGGACAAAGGGAAGTAAGAAGCTCAGAAACAGAAAACGTTGCACTTGATTTTTTTTAAAAAGGGCAAAATCGTAAAAGCATGCAAACCCACATTGAGCCCATCACCTAACACTTGTCATCAATCAAACCATCACCAACCGCCATAAGCTTAGTCAGCTGGTCAGCTGGTGCTCATTTCCTTCTCTCGGACAAAAGCACCAATTCTACTTCTCCTCCCAGCGGACAAAAGCAAGATTATACTTCCACTTCTCCTCCCAGCGAACGAAAGCACGCGAGTCTCACGTGATTGACGACCAAACTCCACCCAATAAAATACATCCACATCAGCACAGCAACCACCAAACCCATTCGCGCTTTTACTATATAGGTTGAGGAGTGAAAATATTAAGTTAACTTGTATAACCAATTCTAATTTCGAAAAGATGTAGCATGTGATTGTTATTCTTGTAGATCTTTCCACGCCTCTATGACTTGTAACCATTAAAATGTAAGTCAAATAATACTATGAGTTTTTATACACCTAACCTATCATGAAAGTATACACACTTTTCCTTAAGTAATATATAGTAGTGCATTCACACGAGTTATTTTTGTAGTGTTAAATAGTTTCCTTGGTATGTTCATTTGCTTATACTTCACTTTTATTTATATGCCATTTGCAAGTTTACACTCTAATTTATTTTTAAGTATAAGTAGGAGGATTCGAACTCGAACTCGAACTCAAAAACTCTAACTTATATTCTCTACGTTGGAACCACCCAATCGATCCCTCCTTTGCTTGTTGTTCATGTCTCACAAAATAATATAACTAGTTTTTGACGTCATTCGTAATGAATGGGACTATATTAGTATAATTCTAGTTATTCATGAATTTCTAAATATAAATTAGAATATTTATTTTTCCATTTACAAATAAAAATGTATTTTTTATTATATTGAATTCTCTTATTTGAACATGCTTATGTGCAAAAAATTTAAAAAAAAACTTGTAAAAATTCGAGGTGAATATCTGCTTCTAATATATCGACTTAGGAGCCTTTTCCTTCCTTTTTAACAACAGAAATTAAATTTAAAAAATTCTTACAGATTAGCTACCGCTTGCCGGATGTCGATGAGTTTAGTGATTACAATAACTATTGTTAAACCAAAAGAACATCTATTAATTTGTCGTTTCAACCTAAGCATCAATAGCAAAAGCTTGGCTGTTTGAACAAATACTTTAATGATGCATAAGGTATGGAATGAATAATTGAAATTTCCACCAACTTCTTGACTTAAGTATTGACAAACAAATAAAAAAAAAAACGTATTGTCAATCCCTTGTCAAAATATAATGTTGTCCCCTCAGGTAAAATCTGAAAGTTATAAACAGAATAATAGTAATATTAGTAAAGGTGATTGTGAAGGGTAAGAAACAAAAAAGAAATAAAATGTCCTTCTGACAAAAAGAAAACACAAAAGAGGACTGAAAAATAACTCAAACAAATGGATTGCTATATATACACATGTATTATGCACACACTCGAGAAAGAATCCTGTTGCCAAAAGAGATTTACCAGTTCAACCTACAACTGAAAATAACAAATAAGAGTAAACCTGTGTCACTATATCCCCATAAAAGAATTATTCCTGAAGAAGAATTCAAATTTTGTCACAAAAATTGGCCAAAACTAAATAGTCATAAGATTTGCTTACCAGCATCCGAAATTGTAAGCTTCAACATTTTGTAAATTCTTATTTATTAACCTTTGGGATCAAGTTGTCTCTCACGTTCAAGTCTATAACTAACTAAAAAAATCCTTCGATCAAGTATACTGTCAATATAATGTTTATAATTGCTAAAGTATTTTGATCCTGTCATCTTGTGGTGACCAAACATAGCAAAAATTCAAATGATTGGACCCATATTGCTTCAAAATATAAGTAGCTTTGCCTACTGCCAGAAAAGCATCGATCTCTTTCGCCAGCAAATACTTCTACGCTGGCTGGGAATACCCCTTTATATATAGACAAATTAATTTGAAGAACTTGCGCTTTCATGAAAGCTATGGGAAAATTCATAGCAAGCATGTCTAAACATTGATACATAATCACAAAAGCAATTAGTAATCAGAAGCTCGTAATGATTTGGTAAACTCTCAATAAATATATAAGACATTATTTAATTGATATGTGACAAAACAAACCATTGGTAAGAATTTCCAGAAAAAGTTATGGAGAAAACGATGAAAGAAACCCTCTTGATATGTACCTGCAAGTGCAATCCTTCACAAATAAAAGGAAAAGTAATTGGTTGTACGATATATAGAGCTTTGATGATGATAAGGATAATTTTCTATTCGATTTTGAATTGCGGTTATACAGTGAAGAAATTGAAACTATTAGGATTGAAATAACAGTGAGATGCTGGGATTTGAAATAAATCTATCAAAAAAAAAAAAACATAGATAGGAAGATAGAAAGACAAAATTTAGATGATAAAGACTGGAGTTTTCAAACTCTATTTTTTAACCATTGAAAGTTTAGGAAACAGGGAGAAACGGGAAAGTGAGAAAAAAAGTGACAAAGAAAAACTTTGGAGAGATTATTGCTCTTAAGGTATATTGGAATTGGTAGGGTAAAATGAAAGGAAAATTGCGAAAGAGAAAATAATGAAATTCCAAAGCGCATCGACAATGAGAGAGTGAGTGTAAAAAACTCGCTATGTGAGGTAGCTATATAGGAAAGATATATATATATATATATATGTGTGTGTGTGTGTGTGTGTGTGTGTGTGTGTGTGTATTCACTTTCAGTTCATTGACAAATACCTTTCTACATGCTACATTTGCAGTTCCAATCTTTACTATCACCAAATCATTTTCCAACTCAAATGTAAATTGATGTATTTATAAACTGACTATGGTAAATATTAAGTGTCAAAAACTAACTCTTCTTAGGTGAGTTGGCCACCAGGTGAAACATAAAAGTTTTATGTAAGTTTGGCTACAAATTAGAGGTTCAAACCTATACACCTATATTAAAATCCAAAGGATGCACAATAATGCATCTTTTTTTATCTAGAGGTGAGATTCTTTCCCTCTAACTCCCTTGGCTCAATTGAATCTTTCCCTAAAGTTAGAGTAGGAATTGGGCAAAAAAAAAAGGTGTCAAAAGTTCAATAGTGCCATCGCAACTCCATGCAACTCCTTTAAAGCTATTAATTTTTATCACTTTGCGAAATACCAACATTTCTTATAAAAAGATAAAAGTCTGTATTGATCTCATAGAAAAATATCTATAGAATAATGAAAGGAGAGAAGTGGCAGTTGAGGTAAATATTTTTGGTCATTTTTTGAACTTCTAATTTTGCCTTTAAGAAATTAATTTTTATCCTAATCACCTAATCATATTTACTAACAATCTCCCATAATTTCTTTAAATGTTGTAACTATCAAATTAACTATAATTGTATTAAAGAAAAAATGTACTAACAAATTGCAATTTTTTCCATGAATAATTTATATAAATTTAATTTTGTAAAAAATTAATATATTCATAAAAATTAATAATTATCTCTAAATCGCACATACATTAGGCGTGCCTTTAACACTAGTTACAATAAAGCGTTTACCACCCATATTATTCGAAAAATGGGTGAACTGCCAAAAATCTTCTATGATTTAGTAAATGTTGAATTTAACTCCCTGTAATTTAATAAGCCACATTTTGATGTGGTTTGCAAGTTTTTGAAACACCAATCGAAATCATCAAAACTGATGTCACATAAAGACTTCACTTTAGAAAAGTACTGATTTACAGTGAGATTTTGCTGCGAGATCGAATAGAGCTCATTCTCGAGTGGCTGTAGCTTCCATTTGTTCTGCTTGGCCAATGCAGCTACCAGGATGTCCCATGCTTCCTTTGGTGTCATTGCTAGATTTACCCTTCGCAATTGCTCATCCTCTACAACAATTGCCAATGCATACAACCATAGTTATTAAACCCGGCCCGGTCCGGCGGTCGAACCGGTCAAACCGGTGGACCGATCATTGGACCGGGCCGGGTTTGGAATCAGATCGTTTGTGCAAAGAGACCGTTGACTTTGTCAACGACCCGGCGGTCGAACCGGGTTAAACCGGAAACCCGGCCGGTTTTGTCACTAATCGGATTTTGTGGAAAAATTATATTACTATTGTTGGAACTCGAACTTCCGACCTCTGCCCTCACACTACCGCTTGCTTACCACCAAACTACTTCCAAATATGTTGATATAGTAGCTTTAGTATGATATATAAATGTTTTTTCAATTCTATCTTTTTTTCTCTAAAACAAATTTATTTGGAATCTTTTAATAAAAATTTATTACCCTCCAAACTCTATAAGTTATAAAATGGATTCCAAAAATAACATATTACATAATTCATTTAAAGACAAATATTATTTTTAATAAATTTTTATACTTAAAATTCATAAATAAGATAGATAATTACACTAAATATAGATAAAATTTTACACTTGAAGTTTGGTATATTAATAAATAATTTTATATTTGATTGATTCTTATATGAATTAATTATTTTATAACAAATTAAATTAAATGAGCTTTTGTTATGGCATTATTTATTACAATTTATATCATATATCTTATATAAATAATTATGAAATATAATATTTAAATATATGTAGTGACCCACCGATTCAACCACTCACCCACCGGTTCAACCAGTAACCCGTTGACCCACCTCCTTCGCCGGGTTCCTTCCCGGGTTGGGTTTAATAACTATGCATACAACGCCTTTCCACATTTCCCGTCCATTCCTCGAGAGCTTTGTTCCCTCTTGGTGGTGTTGTGTTCTCACTGTTGACCACTTCCCATAAATTGGCCAATAAAATATTACTTCATTTGCGTGCTCAATTCCCATAATTAGGGTCGTTGAGTTTCTCAATGGCGCTTATTGATGCGGCAATATCCATCATCCCTCCTTGGTGTGCCCAGCACTAACCAAGTAAATCCGATCCCAAACCAATGACTCTAAGAGTCCCCAACTGTTCTTGACTAAGGGTAGCAACGAGTGTCGGAGCCGGGCAACCATCCCGCTGGAGTAGAAATGGGGCGGGATGGGGTGGGAAAGTTTCCCACCGCCTTAAAACGGGGTAGCGGCGGAGCAGCATACACCTACTCCATCCTCCACCCCGTCTCCCGTATATCAAAAATATATATATTTAAATTCATAAGTGTGTATATAATACGTATATGTACACAATATACTTATTTAGTTATTATTTAATTCTTTATATTTAATAATATAATTAATAACATAATTGTGGCTTGGTCCTATTATATCTCAATAAAATGTTTTAATGTTATTTTCATGGTACTGACGGGCTGCTAATCTTCTTTAATTATTAGTTTTTGCAACTCGTTAGATGGTTTAAAGTCGGGTACTTGGACATGACTTTATTAAATATTTTAATATAGAATGAATGATAAAATTATCTCGTAAATGAGAAGATTGTTAAATATGATAGAATAATTTTTTCTTCCGTGAAAGACCACAAGGAAAGCGAGACTGGGGGCAGGGGCAGGGGAAGTTATTTGACAACTGTAAACCCAGCCCCATTGCCACCCTTATTCTTGACGAAACCTTGCGCTATAGTCCCTGACCGTTCACTTTGAAAGAATAATGCCTTAATGGTCCTCGACCAAGTGACTGTGGTCCCAGACCAACAACTTATGCAGTCCCAAACTGTGTCTTAATGAGCAGCCTCACTCGTACCAAACGGTACCTAACCATTCACTTCGACAAACAATTTATTTGGTCCTTGATCGAGCCATCCTGCAAAAAAACACCTTAACGGAAATGTTTCGAAGCATCCCGCTCTGATATCACTTGTTGATTTTTGTCAACTGGCAGGCCCAAACTATACTATAAAAATAACACTTAATAATTGAATACAAAATGCATTACACCAAAAGATTATAACCATGGGACACTATCTCATAATACACTACATAACTTAAGCACAAACTCACAACGCAAAGACAAGAAACTTCCACAAAGCTTTAGATACAAGCAACTTACCTCACATTGGAGACTTAGCTCCAATTGCCTATATTTAAGACTCTTAGGTCGGTTAATATTGATCTAGAAACCTAAGAAATCTAATATTATAATACTATCAGTTTAGACTATTCCTATTACTACACTACTAACATTCTGCTAGAACAATCTAGATAGAATTTACAAGAGGAATTGGAGACAGGAGTCGGATATTATTTTAACAGAGGAAGATCATCGGAGTGTAGGCAAAATAGGGAGAAAAGCAGGCTGGTTTAGCTATCCAGGAATCAGAAGCTATAAGAGCAGCTATGATTGTGGCAAGATAAGAAAATTGGCAGAAAATAGAAATCCAATCAGACTGCAAGATAATTGTGGATAGGACACACCTAAAACAGGAAGATGAGTCAATTATTGCCACCATCCTTGAGGATGTTTGTAATTTGAGAGGGTTGTTTGAACAATGTTCCTTCTCTTTTGTTCATAGAGAGTAGCTCACAAGTTAGCATAATTTGTTATAACACTAGCTTGTGTGTGACATTAGTCGGGAAGAGAATTCTCCCCTGTGGCTGATAGAATGTGCCCAGGAAGAGAGCAGAGCAGTGCCTCTATTTTGAAATTAACCTTGAATTATCAAGTTAAGAAATACTAAGTTGAAGTTTGACCCCCCCAAAAAAAAAAGAACTAAAGTTGGATATGAACTAAAATGGTCACACTCTCCTAAGGTGAACATTTTTCAATTCGCCTCATGCACAATCCTTCTAGTAGTCCACTGCAAATACCCTTGCCGTGTGCAAAGGGGATATTCTAGCCAATACTAATCTTTCAAGGCAAACACTTGAATTCCACTCTTTGCCGATTTCTTTCCTTTACTCGTGTTAAAAAACTTTTTTTTAGCAAAGAAAGGATGGGATTTAAAAAATTGAAAGGGGACAAAGAAATCTAGAATTCAGAACTTTTAGTTCCTGGGATCTCAAGCGTAACCACTAGATTAAGTCCATCTCGATCTCATATGATGGTCTCGTATCCTCGTTAAACACGCATTCACTCTAGGTGATGCGTCCTTAATTTAGCTTTGCTTTGCATGCCTACGAATAATCAAAGTAACGAAAGCTCTTAGTTGCAGCCCTAGTCATAGACTGCCACGCTTTCATATCTGCCAAATTTGCACCCCTGGAACGATACAAAATATTGGCTGTGGTTATGAACGGAAGAGTGAAGACAGGAGCAAGAAATTTCCTATAATTTGATTTTCTTTTGATGAGTGAAATGTCAAGAAGAGTACCTTCAGTTGACGAGCACTAATGGTGGTCCTACAGGCATCTTGACTTGACTGAATGAGCACCAGTGCTTCTACGCTAATGGTATTTTACTATTTCCTGAAAAGAAATCAGGCATTGCTACTTCAAAAGTCAATATAGTCAATTATGTAATTCTCAAACAACTAACTATTTCCACTGAGACTGGAATTCCACACTGTATTCCTTTCCCAAGTCCAGCAGGATTTGCTCAGCAATTCCACTAGCAAAATGAGTTTTCGACTTCAATTTTCATATGCTTTCATATGTAACATAGGTAACCTGACTTTTCTCGAGGAACTCATCCATGATAATAACTTCTTTCATGGCACAATACCTCGTCAGCACAATCAACTTTTACACCCGCAGCATCTTTCACTTTACAACAACTCTTTCCAAGGTGAAATCCCTAGAAATCTAACATAGGCAGACATGAAGAGAAACAATCATGAAGGTGAAATACCTGCTGAGCTGGGTTCATCGAGAAATCTCCTTGACTTGTATCTTTCTAAAAACCAGTTCAAAGGAACAATACCACATTCACTGGGGAATTTAGCTGATTTACGCATCCTTAGTCTATCTGACAACTTTCTTGAAGGGAACATTCCTGAAGAACTTGGAATATTATCCAATTTGGAGTTTCTTAAGCTGTCTTCTAACAAATTGTCTGGTGTAGTACACATGCAGTTTTTCAAAATCTCATCAATTCAGTATCTTAATCTTGCCTCCAACTATTTAAATGGATCTTTCCCCTCAGATGTTGGTCTGAACTGTTCAAGACTTCATAATTCTGCTGTTGCAGAAAACCAGTTTTTTGGATCCATGCCAGTATCCATTACCAATGCTTCAGGAATTGTGATTTTGGACATTGGTGCAAATGCTTTATCAGGAGTTGTACCCATGAATTTGGGAAATCTTATTAAACATTTGCAAAGGTTAGACTTTTCAAAGAATCCACTTGGAAGTGCTGATAGCACTGGCTTAAGCTTTCTGACTTCCTTGACTAATTGCACTAATCTGAGAAATCTGCATTTGAATGCTAACAATCATGGAGGTGCTTTGCCCAATTCTGTTGCAAATCTGTCCACCCAATTACATACCTAATGCTTGACAGACACTATATATCCGGGGGACTCCCTGATAACCTAGAGAACCTTATCAACCTTGAGAATATGGCAATGAGTCAGAACATGCTTATAGGCCACATCCCTGAACTTAGGGTTATTATCACTTTACCCCCTTAAACTATATCCCTAATATCAATTTACCCCTTAACGTTATCTTTTAGTCACTTTACCCCCATAAGTAATTCAACTCAATATGTTAAGAAATTTTGGACAAAAATACCTTTTTATTTTATAGCATTACTACATTGTTATTATCACTTTATTCGTTTAGATTATAGTGATACAATCTTTTTAGTTCTTAACATTATTTTCTAGGCATTTTACCTCATCGTTAATCTAACTAGTATGGTCAAAATTTTTTTAAATATATTTACCCTTTTTTATAATAATTAAAAATAAAAAAGTTGGAATGATTATTCTTCCTTTTTTTCACTTTAAGAGATCGAAAAACATAAAAATAAAAGAAGTTTTTCAAATTTCTTTTTTTCACATTTATTAATACTAAGAAAAGAAAAAGAGATAGAAAAGAAGGAGACAAAAAAAATTAGATTTTGCAAAAAAGGAAAATAAAGAAAAGTCTAACATTATCGTATTATTTTAAGGCTGTCGAGATTAGGATTGGAATTTGGTGGTAAACAAAAAAGTGAAATAATTTTAAAATAATAAAAGTATATAATTCTTTCTTATTTGTAATTTTTAAAAAAAGAATTGAGCTCTCTCTCTCTCCCTCTCCCCCTCCCCCTCTCCATCTTTCTATTTTTTTCAATATTAATAAGATGGCCAAGAAGAAAGAAATTAATATTTTGACTTTTTTTCTAGATACTAAAAAGGAGAAGAGTCACTCTAAATTTTTTATTATTTTTATTATGTAAAGAGGAGAATATTTTCTTCTAAAGTTTTTTAACTTGCTAAATTAGTTTAATGAAAGGATAAATTAATTAAAAAATATCTCTATGGGGTAAATTGATAATGAGACTATATTTTATGGGGGTAAAATAATAATAATTTAGGGTTAAACATGTCTTTTCACTTTAATTAACAAACTCCGTTAAGTTTGACTGTTAGTTTTGGAGGTAAAGTGATTAAAAAATAACATTAAAGAGAAAATTGATAATAGCACCGAACATCAAGGGGATCGAGTGATAATAACCCCTGAACTTATTAGAAAACTTACAAAGCTACAGGGACTCTATTTTGAAGGGAACAAATTCATTGGTAAGATCCCTGCCTCCATTGGGAATCTTAATCTGCTAAATGTTCTTGAAATGCAAGAGAATACATTAGAAGGAAGCATACCTATTTCTCTGGGTAACTGTAAAGTATTGCAACACTTGGATCTTTCACAGAATAGAATTACTGGTGCAATACTTGAAGAACTTACGGGCCTTCAATCATTCACTCTCAGTCTTTCTGAACTTAGCTCAGAACTGTCTCAGTGGACTTTTACCAACAGGGGTGGGTAACTTGATAAATCTTGGGAGATTGGATGTTTCAAACAATAGATTGTCTGGAGAGCTTCCATCCTCCCTTGGCTTTTGTGAAGTTTTAGAGTTTCTGAGTCTGCAGGGCAACCTTTTTAAAGGCCCAATTCCATCATCATTGCATCTATTGAGAGGAATTCAACTTCAAGATCTTTCTAGAAATTCTCTCTCTGGTAGCATTCCTGTGAGTCTTGCACTGTTTCGCTTGATACAGTTTCTGAATCCTTCTTATGATATGTTGGAAGGAGAAGTGCCAAACGAAGGTCTTTTTATGAACTCTACAATGTTTTCCATTGCTGGAAGTGAAAAGCCATATGGAAGTTTAGAGTCCGCAAATAGCAAGTTTAACTTGATTGGAGTTTTGATCTTCACGTTTGATGGTTTCCTTGTTTCTTTTCTCCTAGCATACCTAACTGCTTTCTGCTGCTCCACAAGAAAGAGCAGAATTTCTAGTACATCTTCAGACTCTCCTCTGGGAGATCAATATCTTAAACTTTCTTATACAGAACTTCATCAAGCTGCTGATGGCTTTTTCCAACCAATTTAATTGCTGAGGGAAGATATAGTTCTATCTTCAAGGGAATTTTCGAGTACAGTGAAGGAGCAGTTTCTGTGAAGGTACTGAACCTTCAACACTGAGGATCCAGAAAAGAGTTTTATGCCTGAATGTGAAGCTCTGAGGAAAATTCGTCGCAGAAATCTAGTCAAGATAATTACATCTTTCTCAAGCATTGATTTCAGAGGCAACGAGTTCTAAGCCTTGGTTTATGGGTTCATGCCTAACGGGAGTTTGGAAAACTGGTTACATCCAAATTCTTCTAACTTACTGCAGCCAAAGAACTTGAACTTTATTTGGAGGTTAAACATTGCTGTAGATGTTGCCTCAGCATTAGAGTATATTCACCACTGCTGTGAAATCCCACCCAATCATCGTGACATAAAGCCAAGTAACCGGCTTCTCACTGAGCAACTTTGCGCTCATTTAAGTGACTTTGGCTTTGCAAGGTCTGTTTTTCTTGCCGTTGATATCCATTCAAGAACAATTGAACTTGTATAAACAGTTGGATATGTTGCTTTAGGTGATTACCATACGGCTTTTTGTCAAACCTTGAAACTTTGCAAATAAAATCCACATTACTTTGTCTTGGCACCTTTTTGATGTCAATGAAATTCCACAGGACATGTTTGCTTAGCCAAATGCTGCTGATCTTGCACAGAATTTGTTCTTCACTGATCATCTTATGTAATTGGATTAATTGTATTTCTTATATACATCGTTAATCCAAATATTACTGCAAGTCTGATGCTTTTGAGTTGCTCTATTTTCAGTTGGTTGAGGTCTCTGATTTTCTTATTTCAATCTTCAATTGTCACTCATACTCAAACCAGAAGATGTGCCAGTCATAAAATTGAAAGGTGTTTGGCTTCTGCTTTCCATGTCAGAGTTTCGAGTTCAGCTCAGAGGCCAAGAGAAAGGATGGATGCAGTGGATGCATTGATGAACCTATAGGCGGCTAGGGATGTAGTTTTTAAGCATGAATGCTCAAAAATGAAGTGTCGTTTACTGCTCATTCCCCATCAAAAGTTGTTGATAGTGCAGATGAAATTAGTGAAGGTATGACAACAACTAGTATACAAAGTTGAAATGTCAAATCCAATTTTGCAGGTTCTGTGTGCACATTGCCTTTTGGATTTTCAGTTTGTATGTCTTTCCTTCTCAGATAGAATTTGATTCTTGATCTTAGAATGGTATTCTGGAAGAAAAAAAAATTCTGTTCTTCCAGCTGATTTCTTGATTGTAAATTTACAGTTGATACCTTTACCTGATTAGTCCAAATGCTGTACTGCAGGCTTCAATGTGGCTTTCAGTCAATAAAGAGGTTCACTTAACGTACCTTGTACTTTTGAAATAACACATATAGTACAAAGAAGATTCAGCATTCACTACAGTAATCAGGAAACAAAGAAGTTGGGTTCAACAAAAAATTACTAATATTCATTAAAAACTGAAAAACATCTATGCTGTAGTTTTTTCATTTATAAAGTGGAACCAGCTTATTTTTGTGTTTCACAAGCTGTTCACTTTCCTCTTCAAAACTATGATCAATGGGGTTCTTAAGCTGAGAAGTTTGGCTGTTCACTTTTCCTCTTCAAAATTATGATCTCTGGATCTTGAGTGACATATTTTTGCTCCGTCACTTTTTACTTTGTTAGGATACCCGCTCCTGGGAAATTGGATACGTACGGCAAAAGGGATTTTGACCAAAGGCCTAAGAGAGAGCTAGAGCCCAACATCATGGAGCAACGTTTACAAGGAAAACTGTAGGTATCCACAGCAGCTGGATTAAAATTCTGGGTACATTTCTCATTTTTCAAACTACATCCCCATAGTCACTAGCTGTAAGAGAGTGATTCTACATTTACTTGCAAGTCGTAACCAGAATTCTTATCAGGAGGAGCTGAAATGTCATTGTGTGGTGTGAGCCAAGCTGCAATGGGAGCCTGACAAACTAAATATAATTTGTCAAGTTTCCAGCAAATCTGGCATTGGCACTACATTAGCCAAAATAAACAGTAGTTTATTTCCCAAAAGGAGGTACTCTTTTCATCGGATATGGTTATCTACACAGGATTCCAGCTAAACTTTGCCAGGCCATACCCAACACATTGCATTTGCATAGCCCATCCACCTAGGAAATGAAGGTCCAATTTGAAATGCATATGCTTTCAAGTGTTATACTCTGTTTCCTGAACTCTATAACATTAGTCACTCACGCCTACTGCAGCCAGCAATTTAGTCAGTTCGTCAAATTAGACAGACTGGCAAGCTTTGCTTGCCATGAAAGTTCAAATTGAGAGTGACCCTTTTCTAGTTCTTAACTTCTTGGAACAGTTCTTTTGATCAAAGCGAGACAGCCTTAAACTTGCCGTCACTGAAAATTGGGAGCTTCCTTCAGTTACATAGTTAAGGAACTCAATCTTGCATAATAGCTTCTTTGATGGTATAATACCTCATAAGTTCGGTCATCTTTTGTGCCTGCAGCATATTTCACTTCATATTTGACTTTTTTCCAAGGTGATATTCCTAGAAATCTAACTTATGCAGACATCGAAGTCATTAATTTGAAAAGCAACAATCTTGAAAGTGAAGTTCCTGCTTTCATTTAATAACCTCCTTGTGTTGCATCTTTCTGTGAATCATTTCAGAGGAATGATACCACATTCACTAGGGAATCTGTGTGCTTTACACATCCTCAGTCTATCAGGTAACATTATTGAAGGAAGCATTCCTGAAGAACTTGGAAAGCTCTCCAATTTGAGTTCTATTAAATTGTCTTGCAACAAGTTCTCTGCAGTACCTATGCAGCTTTTTTAACATCTCATCAGTTCAGTATCTTGTTCTCCAGTCCAACCATTTAAATGATTCTCTCTCCTTAGATTTCAGCCTTACCATTCAAAATTTCATACTCGACACGTTGCAGAAAACCAGTTTTTTGGACCAATGCCTGCATCCATAACCAACGATTCAAGAGAATTTGCATGAGGATTTAAGGATTTATGTAAAATCAAGTTCTACTAATATAATCAAACCACATTGCAGTTTTTCATTCTAGATCCCTCGAAACTTGGTTATTGAAAACCCTTCGGAAACATAGCTAGCAAATTTGGACAATGCATCAAGCTACATAAAATATAACCATTCTCTAGTTCTGCTTCCTAACAGAGAAGTAGAGGTCCAAGCAAGAAAGGAGCAATACCTGTATCTACAGGAGTTTCACTCTGCTTAGATTATGGACAATTCAATTCTGTCAAGGAATTTATCTAACTGCCCAAGAGGCCATTATCCAGAGGTTAAACATGTTCCGATGAGCTATGGGATACGACGATGCAGTGACCAGAATACTTTCTCATTCTACTTATCCAAGCTCAAGAATATTATAGAAATTCTTTCAAGAATCTAAACATGTACAACGAAGGGAACATAGCTTGTCTTAATAATTCGATGGACTGAAACATCGTTTGACATAGAAAAAGATCATGAAAGAAATATGTACCTGAACTTATTCGCAAATCATGGATTTAGCTCCCAAATCAAAGTGAAACTCCATGCAAAAGGCTCACCTGCAATAACTAAAATCTGGGAGACTGCCCAGCACATTCCAGTGTAGAATATACATAAACATTCTATAACCTCAAAAAAAAAAAAAAAAAGAGAGAAATCTAAAAAAGGAAATCCTCAAAATATCTATTGAGGGACTGCAAGAGTTAATCCATTATAAAGCTAATTAAGACCTTTTGCTGTATCCAGCCTGACACTACAGAAATCATAAACAAAACATGCTATCTGGCTGGAAAAACTACCAAATCACACTGGCAGTTCTGGGGACTTGAAAAAAGAACCAGGACAATGAAAAACTATTCTGTAAAACAATGCTGATTAAAAGTACAACAGAAAAATCAGACAGTTTAAAACATATCAGTAGACTCTATAACAAAGTGCAGCAAGTTTCAAAAGTTGCCAGAACAAAGGTCACTGGAGCTCCTAAACAAAATGCTACAGTATCAACAATTGATGAGAGATATAGCAGCAAAAGGTCTTTTGGCTAATGCTTGTGCTCAACATAATTGAAGTTTGCAAATACATTTGATTCCTTTGGCTGGTGAATAATATTCTCAAAGATATCATTCAGCATTTTGTTGTCAAGCATTCCTTCCAAGACTTTGTCTTCAAAAACGGATGAAATTCTGGACTTGTTACTTTGCCTATCTCGAGAAGAAAATACCAATTCAGACAAGCGATCTTTGTTAGCCTGTTGAGCATACTTTTCAACCTCCAAGGTCCCAGAGGTTATCAAATGATAAACATAGACAAGATTCTTTTGGCCAAGCCTATATGCTCTGCTTATTGCTTGCCTTTCAACTGAAGGATTCCAAACAACGTCTAACAAAACAACTCTTGATGCCCCACTCAGATTTATTCCTTCAGAACATGCTTTTGTGGATGCAAAAAGAACTTTCACCTTACTGGAAGGATCATTCAGAGAACTAATTGATGACTGGCGATTCTTCTCATCCCGTTTTCCATCCATATACAGCATCTCTATGCCTTCTCTCCACTTTAACTGATCCATCAGCTGTTGCATTATGAATCTCAAAGGATGAATAAATTCGCTGAAAACTAAAACCTTCTCATGTGATGCATCACATAATCGGATGAGCTCAATGGCAAATTTTGTCTTTACTCCAGCGTAAGGACTGCATCCGAGCACCCCTAGCCTATCTTTGCGGGCAGACAAGCGTTTACTGAAAGCAGCTAATGATGGGTGGACAGAAATGAGTGACACCAAATGTACTTGGTCAAACCTACTCCAATCATCCGATATAAGCCGAAGAATGTCCTTCTGCTCATCGGTTGGCCGCAAAATAACAAGTGTGTCCTTCAGACCAGGGAGATTCTCTTCTAGTATAGAACCTCTGTGTACATGTACAAAGGGATCTATCATAGCCTTGAGCTCTTCTACCACATAGTCAGATTTCTTATGAATGGCATTGGTCAAGGAAATCCATCTCTCTTTCTCCACATTGCTCTTCCGCTGCCATCTTCTGTTGCAACTCTCAGAAGTGATTGAACCAGAAAACTTTGGGTTTACCAGGCAAAAAGTATTATACAACTCGTCAAAGTTATTCTGAAAGGGAGTTCCAGAGAGGATTATCTTTCTTTTTGTCTTAACTCCTGTCAAAGCCTTCCAAACAAGACTCTGTTGATTGCGAGGTGTGTGCCCTTCGTCAAGAACCACAAGACCAGGCAGTTGAAGAAAGATTTCCCCAAGTCTTTCATCACTTCTTTTTCCCTTCCGTCCACTGGCAATCTGCTCAAATAACTTGTAACTGATTCCTAGAACACTTTTATCCTTTGTCCAAGAGTACAGCTTTGTCATTCGACTTCCAACCCTCCGAAGAAATTCTGCATCAGTCTTGAGTTCATTTCCTGACAAGTCCTTGCTATTAAAGTTATGAAAAGGAATTCTAGATCCCCATTTTCGGAACTCATTTTCCCAGGTAAGCAGCATGCTTCTAGGAGCTATAATCACAGGCCGGCACATTGGATACATTTTTAACAATGACAGAATAAAAACAATTGTCAGGCAGGTCTTCCCAGTGCCAGGGGCATGTGATATTATGGCTCCTCTTCCATCATCAGACAGTTCAGTTTTCAGCTTCTCAATACAAGTTTCTCCTACTATGTTTTTCCACAAGAAGACAAATCCATCCAGTTGATGACTATACATTGACATCCTAATATCATTGGGAATAAGATCCAATACAGAGCCTTCAGCATCAATGGAGGTGTAGTAGTTTCGAGAGGCTAATTCACCAAAATGAAGCTCATGAATACCAGAGCAATCACCTCTGCAAAGGTCAACCCAATCCCGTCTGTGTGAAGTCTCCTTTTTCTGCAGGCAATAGCAATTTAGATAAAACTTTCTAAAAAAAAATCTGGGAATGCAAGTAACAACATGAAGTTCTGGTAACATTGTAAAGGTCCCACTTCATTACACAACTTAGCCCAGATTATTTAACTCTTTGCTAGTAAAAATGACGCTAAGGAGGCCACTACCATTAAGTGTGGTTCTTGTTTTTGGCTCCCTGATAGGAAATTAAAAGGTGCTGCTGCTTTAAAACGTGATACTCGTTATTGTCTGCCTATTATAGGTTTTGACGATCAGGAAGATTGGAAAACTGATTCTTCAGGAATCTACACTACCAGATCAGCCATGAAAAAGCTTCAATCTCAGCCCAATAGTTAGCCGGGTGTACGTCTGTCTGTGGAAAGAAATATATGCTTAAGCATTCCTATACCTCAAGGTTGGCATGTGAGTGGAGATTAAGTAATAAAGACAGGCTAATCTATTGGGGTATGCCAGTTGAAGCTGATTGTGCCCCTAATGAATCTCTAAGCATATATTCTTGTCCTTACTCTCCTGCAGTCAGTCCATAAAAACTGGCTAAATATACAGTTGCTAAGACTTGGTCCACTGAATCGTTAGAGGCTGAACAACACTGTGCTGGAAAGTCATTTAGGAGAATGTGTGCAGGGTGAGATTTGCTGTTGCAGTTTATCAACTCTGGGGAAGTGGACACCGTAAAGTTATCCAAAAATCTGCTGCATCCAGTTTACTATGTTTGCAAGGAAATTTTGAAGGACCTTTGTGGTATAGTAGTGTTTGGCTAGGTTCATTGGTCTAGTGAAAATTTGAGCCTCTGTCTAGAATAGGCATTTTTCCTAAAGTTTTAGAGTGAGTTCTAGAATAGCATAGCATCTGTTATGAGCTTAGAACAGAAGTTCTTGTTTCCTTATCTTTGTCGGGGTGTTCCCCCGTCTTACATGCTTACGCTTCTGTTGCAAGCCAATAAAGCAAGAAGCTAAGTGGAAAAAAAAATTAGGAGTATGAAGTTAATTCATTTAAGTTCATCTAAGGAGCATAAAAGAAGGGAATTCAAAAAATAATATAATGCAAATGACAAGTTGAATACATACCAGAACAGGAAAAATGTCCTTCATTTCCATATACACAATTTGACAATATTTGCATACGATTCCAATTGGTTCTTCAAGAATCAGCTGATGTTCCCCTAACAGACATAATTCTGCTTGGCTCTTTGCCGTAGCAGTGACATGATGCGTGCCATCCTGATGATCAACGATGCAAGAACTCAAGATCTTCTCACACGAGTTTCAATTTGGACAATCGGATAATTAAAAAGAGTAAAAACATCATTGGAAAGTGACAGCAAAGCCAGCAAAAAATATCAACAACATTATTTGGACAATGCAAATCTAAGCCAAATGGTAATTTTCACCAGAAGAGCACAAAACTTAGGAGGTTTCTTATGACACAAATACCACACTGAAAATACTTTAGTATCTTTCTGTCCAGTGACAGAGATCTCGCAAAGAACTAGATGAGAGTATCTGTATGTGATTGTGCATACAAAGAAATTTCTGGAACTTCTACGTGATACAACGATGACGAAAAACAAATCATACAATCCAAAATATTGTAAAGTTTGGAAATTGAAAACGAATCTTACAATCCAATTATTGTAAAGTTATCGTACAAGAACAGAGGAAATTGCATGCTGCCACATTATCAAAATCTTCAAGCACAGACGAGTTAAAATATCTATGGAGTAAAACCAATATCTTAATTTCCTTAACGCCTTTTATTACAGCAGGACATGGAAGAGAACTTTGTTTCATTAAAACTGATATCTAGCTTAAACATTTACTTAAAAGTGGTTCAAAAGGAGAACAGCAACCTTTTGCTAGGTGTTGTATAAGTAAATTAAAATGAATAATATAATCCTCCCAACACCATCAATAGCCAAAAAAAAAAAACATACAAAATTAGGACCAACTAAATAGCATGCACAGCGGATCATCAAGTAGCAACTTGTATTCTTAAAACTACATAAGAAAGCATACCATCAAAAAAACTACAACAATTTGAAAAACCACATGATCTTGTTAAACACAGATTATTAGATAATAACTGAGGAAGAAACAAATATTAGATGACCGACATGAGATGATACCCTACTGCATGTTTCCAGATCATTTCAAAGTTCTAAGGCATCAACTTCAGTATTCCAGGGCAGAAGTCACAACGTTAGCATGTTGACTAAGATCTCCAAACTCAGCTGACAGACAAAGAATGGATATAGCAAAAGGAATACAGCAGCGGCATAATAATGAGCTATCTTCAAATCGTTTTCAGCAGTAACGTATCGAAGAAACAATCTTTCATTTCTATAGTATTAGCTAAGCTATTCAAACTGTCGTGGAAACTATGTAAATACTTATTTAACTCCAAATCCAGAAATCACTGTAGTAACCAGAGAATGTCAAATCTCAAAATTAACAAAGCATCATTACCATGGATGATTCAGTAAAGTCAGAATCAGGTAACGTGAGGCACATTTCCATCTCAGTAAAAAGGTTGTCAATTTCTTTCTGCCAGCCTTCTTTCTCAGGTGGGGCTGGATCCTCATCATCAAATCTGAATTTTAACAGCAGCGTATGAATAGGACCATTGTCTTCAAAAGGAAATAGATTTTGCTTTGTCTGCTCATCATCCTTGAACATGGACCCCAGAAGAATATTCACATAATCCACCTCTCTTAACACCCTT